GTGCCAGGGGTTAGTGGTGGCCTTGGCAGGGCTGGGAATGGCTGGACTGGATGAGCTCAAAGGGCTTTTCCAACCTGGGTGATTCCATGATTCAGTATTCTGGCAGTTGAAAAATAAAACCTTGTGCAGCTTATGCAGCAGCACAAACAGGGCAGGGTAAAGCCACCCCATACAGATCACTGCCAGCAGGGAACCCAACGTTACTGAATCTCTTGACAACATGCGAAGAAAGAGCTGTTCAGATACATCAAATGAAGCACTGGATGAGGAATCATTGTTTCTGAGAGCTGATCCTTAAGTAATTATTTAAAATGTATTTCCCAGCAGATGGATGCTGATGGCGACAGGAAACCACCACGGATGAGAAGGTAACTGGTGACCCAAGGCAAGCTGCAATCACGCCGTACTCTTGCAGGCTCGGCTCGAAGCTGGATCCATGTCTCTGTCTCAGCAGGTGGCAAGTGAAACCCAGCCCTGGAGCAGTTCTGACAGTGTCTGTGGCCAATCCCCAGGCAGGCCAGGCCGGCCCGTGAGTAACTGGGGTGGTTTGTTGGGGTGGGAACCCTGCAAGAGCACTCCCAATGCCTTTAGCACTGTTGCAGCTTGGCCTCTATAACCCCAAAGTGGTTAGCAAATGATGTCTCCTGCCCTTCTCAGTGTATCTGTCAAAGGATGGGGATTCCCATGTGGCTTTTTTGTTATGCAGAGTAAGAAGGGGGATGGCAGGCTGGCTGTGCCCTAGCTGGGGTGTCCCCTGCACCCTGGGGACAGGGTGTGCTTGCTGTGCTGCAGGGCAGCAGCTTCACCCCTGGGCTGAGCCAGTGTGGCTGTGGGACCCAGCACCCGGTGATGGGCACAAAGAGGGATGGGTGAGGGCACTTGGCATGTCCTGGGTTCAGGGAGCACCCCGTGATAGGCTTTACATGACACAGTCCCCAGGGCTGGCTTGGCAGCTCTCTTGGCACCCTTTATAGAACCGTAGAACGGTTTGAGTTGGAAGGGACCTTCAAAGCTCATCCAGTCCAACCCCCTGCAATGAGCAGGGACATCTTCAACTAGAGCAGGTTGCTGAGAACCACATCCAGCCTGGCCTGGAATGTCTCCAGGGATGGGGCATCCACCACCTCTCTGGGTAACCTGTGCCAGGGTTTTACCGCCCTCATAGCAAAGAATACGAGATGTACCATGGGCCAACGGGTGTCTCCTCCGTTCCTCGCTGGTCTCAGGCAACAGGCAGTGGCTGCCTTCGCATCCAGGGTGACTGCAGGTCTGTGCTCTCCCCAGGCCCGGATCCAAGCGCCCGTTCCTGCGCAGCCGGAGGCCGCCGCCGCGGGCAGCCAAGCCCCAGCCCAAGGGGGTGCTGCTGAGGTTCAACTTCCGCGCCATGGCCAACCAGGTAGAGGATGGTCAACAGGACAGGCGGCACCCTGCACCCTGCAGCAGCCTTGCCACTAACCTGGTCACGCCGCGCTCAGGTCTTTGGGGCTGCCAGTCGGGTTTGTCTAGCATGGCCTGGGAGCAGAGGCCTGTGTTGGCTGGGTTGCTCACAGAGCAGAAGGCATCTGAGAAGACTGTTCAGCAGCTACAGACTCAGCCCAGTTTTCCCCACTCCATTGTCCCGTCTTGGCCTGTCCATGTGCTTGCTTGGAGCAGGGAGATCCTGCTTGTGAGTGGTCCTGGACAGCGGGGACTGTTTCACTGTCAGTGCTCCCAGCTCCTCAGAGACACACAGCACTTGTGGGCTTTGCACTCTCTTTGCTTTGGTGACTTTCTCAGTGCCAGTTTTGTGCTGAAGTATGGTCCAAGAGCCCTGGGGCAGGTCAGAAATCCTGCCCTACCTTCTTCACTGCTTGTTTGGACGTTTCTTGTCTGGACGGTTTGGTTTTACTTGATGCCTTGTGCTCAAATGCCACGTGCTTGCTCCTGTTGTTGCCGAGGACGGCCGGTATCTTGGGGCTAGGCGCTGCTTGGAGGTGTTTTCCAGCTGCACCCAGTCTGTCAAGCTCCTTGTCTCCATGTGCTGAGTGGTTAATTGACTAACTGGCTGCGAAGCACCGTCCTGACTGATGGGCTCTAATCAATACCCTGCTGCAAGTTTGGCCGTGCTTTGCCACGAGGCGCAGGACTGACTCGGTCTCCCTTTCCCCTGCAGACCAGCCTGACGCTGGATGAGAGGTTCTCTGGTCTGAGGAATAAGAGGCGCTTTACAGCAGCCAGGAGCGCCGGCCGGACGGTCACCATGCCCTAGCACCGCTCCTCAGGGACTGCCCTCACAGTCCAGGCCCCGTAATGGGCAGTTCAATAAAGCTCAATAGATGTATTTCCTCTAAGATAGCTACTTTGGCAACGCGCTCTCTCCTTCCTTACATGCAGGGTGAATGAGCGAGGGAGGGCAGGTACGAGGCAGGATGAGAGCTGGGGCCGGAGCACAGGAGCAGGGTGATGGATGGGGACAAGTCGAGGTGGATTTGCTCTGCTGTGGATCCACAGGGCTGCCACCAGCCCTGTCACCCTGTGCTGCCCGGCAAGAGGGAGCGGGGACCAGCTCCAAGCCATACCCATGGAGCCTTCCCTGCATTGTTCCATGGGTGGGAAGGGCTGAGGACGTGGCCTGCCCGCACAGGGTTCAGAACAGGCAGCAGAGCACGGAGGGATGTGCTGCAGCAGTTGCACCAGTGGGATGCTCCAGCTGCCGCATTCCCCAGCATCCACCTCATCGCCCAGTTTGTTCCCTGTGCTGGAGGTGTGCTGTGTCAGACCCTCCATCTTGAACACGTCTCACTCTGCCCTGACAGTCAGGCCTGAGCACCTTGTGTTTCTCTTTGGTTTGCTGTGCTGTGGTGACTGCTGCTGCAGCCTGGTTGCAGGGATGAGGTGGGACATGCAGTGCTGTGGGGGGGACTGTCCTCAGCATGGAGCACACACAGGCTGCCCCGGCCCCAGCCAGATTTTCCAGTGGTTGTGCATTAGGGATTTGGTAGGTGCAGCTCCACCAGTGCTCAAAGCACCAACACAATCAAACCAGCAGCTGCAGGTTTGCCATAAGCATGGGCTGAGATGACAAAGTCCTGCACCAACCATGAGTCACGGATCCATTCCCCAGCCACTGCTGCAACCCAGCACCAAACACTGGGCACAGCCTGGCACCAGGCTCGGAGCTACACTCATTAAAGTAAATACTTGATAGGCTGCTTTACATGTTACTCCAGGCGTCTAAAAGGAGACTGGGCTCGGCTGGTTCATAGCAATGTGTGAGATGCTGTTAGTGACAAAGAGGCCATGTATGAGTCCAGTGCACTGAATAAAACACTAACCTGTTCAATGTCACCTCCAGTTATTTCTTTTCCTCCAACAGGCTTCGGGATCTCGGCGAGGCACTGTGGGTGCAGCACGGCTGCATGGGCTGCATTGGTGCATGGGGGGAGGCTGGGTTCCCTGCGGTACAAGGCAGGGACGGGCCAAGGGGAATGGCTTGAACCTGCCAGAGGGGAGACTGAGATGAGCTCTGAGGCAGAAGCTCTTCCCTGTGAGGGTGCTGAGGCCCTGGCACAGGGTGCCCAGAGAAGCTGTGGCTGCCCCACACTCTCACAAATGGCATTATCCCTATATTTTGGTTGCACTTTCACTATAAATATTGGCAAGAGATGCTGTGCTCACCAAGGAAACCCGACCACTTTGCACTTAATGCAGGCTGCAAGGAGATGGAGCTGTTCAGTCCCGCAAGAAGAGTGTGGAGCATCCCTCGGTGTTCAGAGCACACCCTGATGCTATTCTTCAAAGAGATGGTTTTCAGCAATCTGTACCTTATTTTTTCTAAGCACTCCTTAAATTACAATTGAGGCCTAACGATATAAACTACCCTTTATTCCAAGCCTGGTCGCCCCACAGGGCTGGTGACTTCCCGTGCAGCGAGAGGCAAAGCAGGCTTTGCACAGAAGAGAATTCATGAGCAGAAGAGCGAACC